CAGAGGAGGGTCCATCCCAGACACAGCTGGGGGTCAGCACAGCTGCAGAGGAGGGTCCATCCCAGACACAGCTGGGGTCAGCACATCTGCAGAGGAGGGTCCATCCCAGACACAGCTGGGGGTCAGCACAACTGCAGAGGAGGGTACTTGGTCAATATGGGCGTCATCGGTTGATTTGTTGACAAGGCCTGCCTCGGGGAAGTAGAGATGCTGGCAGTCTGGTTGTGGGCTGAGCCGAACCTGTGAGTCACAGAGGTAGAGACTCCTCAGGAAGCTAGCTGAGAAGGAGAAGTGAAAGAGATTAGGAACCTTCTGGGAAGGGAAGAGAGGTAGGGTCACGGAAGAGTTTTCTTCTACAGGGCATTGAATACCCAGAGAGGGGGAGAGAGAGAGAGAGAGAGAGAGACAGACAGACAGACAGACAGACAGACACAAAGAGAGACAGACACTATGAGTCCTGGTCAAGGCAAGTGGGGGATGGGTTTATAGTGGAGGATCCTACTGGGTTCTGTGGTATGAGACTAATGATCACTGGAATTATGACAGCGAACACAAGATTGTGCAAATAAGTAATGAAATCTTGAACCTTTGACCTTGGAGGCCTTTGGGAAAATATTTTTCTCTCTCTCTTAACCCTGACCCAGTCCTCCAAAGGGAAAGACTCTGTCTCACATAAACTTTCCTCTCTCTTCTCATCACGGTCTTTCCATCCCCCTCACCCAGTGGATCCTGCCATTTCTGTTATCTGACTCTATCTCATTTCTTTTCCCACCATCAGCTCCTCATCCCCCACTTCCGCTACACCATGGAGATCAACATCCTGGCACGGAAGAGTCTTGTCTCTGAATGTGGAATTTTTGATCTGGTATGGAAAGGGATGGGTGAAGGGGAGGAGTCTCTCAAGCGTATTTCCCCCGTCCACTCTTCCTCCAAACTCTGCTTTTCGTACTGAAGGACAGCCTTCACTTGCCTCATACTTGAAGAGCCCGCTGGTCCCCATCTCCCTCACCCTGTTACCTGGCTTGGTTAACCCTGGTTTGTCCTCAGGTGGTGAGTACAGGGAGTGGAGGCCACGTGGACATTCTCCAGAGGGCCACCGCTTGTTTGACTTACCGCTCCTTTTGCCCTCCGGATGACTTGGCTGACCGTGGGCTCTTGGATGTGAAATCTTCTCTGTATGCCCAGGATGCCCTCAGGCTGTGGGAAATCATCAGCCGGTGAGGATGACTCAGAGGGAGAGAAGTGGGGGGCGGGGGAGCAGGTCCCAAAGGCCCTAGCCTGGCCCTGTGGCTGAGTGCCCTCTTCTCTGGGGAGCAGGTATGTGGAAAGGATGGTTGAGCTTTTCTACAAGAGTGACACAGATGTGAAGGACGATCCAGAGCTGCAGGTGTGGTGCAGAGAGATCACTGAGGTCGGACTTCTGGGCGGCCAGGAGCGGGGGTAAGGCATGGGGTCCTCCTGAGTCACCTTACATCATTGCCCACACGTCTGTCAACATCCCTCATCTGGTGCCTGAAACACTTCCCTGGGTGTCTCCCGAGCCCCCAGAAGCCCTAACCATCACGTTTCTGCAGCTCCTTTGCCTTCTCCTCTCACAGGGTTCCCTCTCCTCAGCACTGGGAGCTTTCCCTGGAGCCAGAACTATTATCCTCTTAGAGTTCCCTTACTCATCCCTCCCTCGAGCTGGGAAGCAGCTCCAAGGCCCATCCTATGTGCATCAGTTTTCTTTATTTTTATCTTGGGGGATCATTTTCTCCTCTTCCTTTCATCCCTCCAAACCCTCCCATCTACCCCTCCTTGTTCTCTTTCAAATTCATGGCCTCTTTTCTCATTATTTGTTATTGCTGTTGCATACATATATGTACTCTATCTATCTATCTATCTATCTATCTATCTATCTATCTATCTATCTATCTATCTATCTATTTCCTTTTGGTTTTTCAAGACAAGGCTTCTCTATGTAACAGCCCTGGCTGTCCTCTGTCCTAGAACTTGTTCTGTAGACCAGGCCAGCCTCAAACTCACAGAGATCCCCCTGCCTCTGCCTCCTGAGTGCTGGGGAAAAGGTGTGCAGCACCACTGCCTGGCTATAATACATTCTTAAATACATAAATACATCTTGCTCGGTCCGTATAATGTTACTGTGTCTATATGTTTTCAGGGCCCCCCATTTGGTATTGGATGACCACTTGGGTTGCTCTTCCCTATGGAAGATTAATTCTCCAACTCTCAGCTCTCCTTGGTGGCCTTTGTGTAGGCTTGAGGCCTCCTGGGCTTCCCCGGTCCATGGTAGCACATCTGTTGTTGTCCTTGTTCAGCTCATGGGTAGGCAGTCATATTGGTGAGACGTTACAGGCGTAGCTTCTGACATTCCTGGGACACAACCTCACAGCAAACTCCCTTCTCCTCTGGCTCTCACCATCTCTCTGCCCCTTCTTTGGATTAGGTTTGGGAGTTGTTTTGTAGATGTGTCCAATGGGGCTGGGCTCCACATCTGCATTTTGATTGGTTTATGATTTTCTGTAGTGGTCTCCATTACACATCAGTTTTTGAGTGCACACTGTTTGTGAACCATAGGCTCTAGAGGCTGTGACCAGAACAAGGCCTTTATGTATCTCCAGACATTTTTGCAGGCCTGAGCTCTGCCTCAGATGCTGGTCTCAAATCTAACTCTCTTTATTTTTACCCAGGTTCCCCCTGTCCCTAGGGTCCCGGGCTCAGCTGTGCCGGTTTGTTACCATGTGCATATTCACGTGTACTGCTCAGCATGCTTCCACCCATCTCGGTCAGGTAATCCACGTGATCATGTCCCCACAGGCTTCCGGGATGCGGGTCAGGTAATCCTTGTGATCACATCCCCATGGGCTTCCAGAATGTAGTCATGTCCCCATGGGCTTCCGGGATGTAGAAGATGGGGAGAAACATCAAATGGGTGGTCAGCCTGGATTTCCGAGTAACCCTTCTATCTGCAGCTGGACTGGTATGCCTGGATCCCAAATGGCCCATGCACCATGCGGAAGCCCCCACCAACCTCTAAGGATGTGACAGAGAAGGACATAGTGAATGCACTGCCCACTCTCCAGCAGGCACGGTTGCAGATGACATTCACCAAGTTCCTTGGCAGACGCCAGCCTGTCATGGTTAGACATGGATGCCTGGGCCCTGGCCTGGGGGTGGGGAGACAGCTTGACCGAGGGGCAGTATTCTTGCCTTCCAGAGGCCCAAGGGCCTGAGCCATTTTGTTTTCTCCCTCTCAGGTGGCCCTGGGGCATCATAAAGAGGAATATTTCTCAGGCCCTGAGCCCCGGGCTGTGCTGAAGCAATTCCAGGAGGAGCTGGCTGTCATGGACAAGGAGATTGAGGTCCGGAATGCAGGCCTGGATCTGCCCTATGAGTACCTCCGGCCCAGCGTGGTGGAAAACAGTGTGACCATCTGAGAGGCCCTGCCCGTCTCAGTCCCAGAGGAGGCCACTGTCTCTGTATCTTCATAGTCTTGTCCTCCTTGGCCACCTCCTTTGGTGAATAGATAACTGCCCATCACAGAGTCCTGGGGGATACACAGCGATCATTCCCATTGCATTTCAGAATCTGGAATGTGCCACAGTTGCCCTAACTCTATGTCAATCCAGCTGTGTGCTTCCTTAGCCTGGAACCCGTTACCTGGTATTGTGTTCCCCAAAATATTGTGTACCCTAATAAACTTATCTGGGGTCAGAGGACAGAAAAGCCACTAGATACTTAGTTAGGCAGTGGTAGCACACGCCTTTAATCCTAGCATTCCAGAGGCAGAAATCCATGTGTTCATGGATACAGCCAAACATGGTGACTCACACCTTTAATCCCAGAAAGCAAGCCTTTAATCCCAGGGAGTGATGGTAGAAAGGAAAGATATATAAGGCGTGAAGACCAGAAACTAGAAGCATTTGGCTGGTTAAGCATTTGGCTGGTTAAGCTTTTAGGTTTTGAGCAGCACAGTTCAGCTGAGAGCCATTTGGATACGAGGACACAGAGGCTTCCAGTCTGAGGAAACAAGATCAGCTGAGAAGTTGGCCAGGTGAGGTTAGCTGTGGCTTGTTCTGTCTCTCTAATCTTCCAGTGTTCACCCCAATACCTAGTCCAGGTTTGATTTTATTAATAAGAACTTTTTAAGATTCCTGCTATAGTTACCCACTTCTCTTCCCCGAAGGACCTGGTTTATACGATAATGAAAAGTCTGATTAAATAATAAAGTTTGGTTATATAAAGCGAGGGAAGGTGAGAGAAAAAGGCCTTATTTTGTTTCTTGCCTTCTTATTCAGATAAAGGGAACAAAGAAAGATATTTTCCTGGGACAAACATTTCTTCCTCAAGGGTTTCCTTAAACATCTGTAAGCTAAATGACATTGGTGGTGGCTGACTGGGCCCAGTGGAGCTGAGAGTCGTGGTTTTTAACCGTGGATTTCACCTTTAGGCTTCTCTGGAGCCTCAGCTAAGACATCCCTCCGGCCACCCGCACTGAAGTCTCCGGGACTCTTCCCAGCTCAGCATCAAACTGCCTCGACCCCTTCCCAAGCTGTAACTCATTCTCCTTTTCAGCCCTTTCCCGGAGACTCATGATAAAGCTCCCTCTTCATTTCTATCCTTTCTGCCAACACTAAAATAACCACCCAACCCAGAGTCCCGGCACTGAAGACAGACAGACAGACACATTCCCAGCAGGAGGGGAGGAAAGAGGAAAGGCACCCGTATGGAAGAAAAAAAGTCAACTTGTTACTGTTTGTGGGGGACATAAGCCTACGTAGAAAATACCCAATAACTTTACCAAAAATAACCTATTAGAAAAATTAACGAGTATAGCCAGGTGGCAGCACACAAGAGTCAGTAGCACCTAAAAATCAACAGACAAGTCTCTGAAAATGAAGCAAACAAAACAATCTCATTTTCAAAAAATAACACCCAGAAATACACTTCACCAGAGAAGTGAAATATCTTTACAACTAAAAATGTGACACTGAGGAACACTGAGGAGGGTGTGGCCAAATGGAAAGGTATCTCATCTTCATGGATTGGAAAGATCGATGTCATTAAAACATCCATGCTATGAAGAGCATTTTGCAGATTCAAAGCCGTCTTTATTAAAGTATCAATGACATTATCCCCAGAATTAGAAAAGCAATCCTAGAATTTGTATGGTACCTCAAAAAACGAAACCCCCCAAAACCAAAAAACCCAACCCTGAGTAGCCAAAACAAACGACAGTTAAAATAAAGAAAGCAGGAGCTGTTACACTAACTTAAACATATAATAGTCTATAATAGTCAGAACAGCATGGCACAGATGGAAAACGGGTTTAGGCCAGTGGGACAGAATACATATGAACACATCCATGGCTAAGTGCTTTTTGACAAAAGTGCCAGGAACATGGCGTTAGGAAGAGGGCATTCTCTCTCATAAATGAACCTCGGAAAATGGGATTGTTGGACCCCAAAATTTAGGGTCTCAAATGGGTGCCCCAAGAACCCAGACTCCAGTCCAGTTGATGCAAAAGCAGGAGGATTTATTAAGCTTCTGTACAGAAGGGCAAACTCTGCTCCTAAGAGCAAGAGCTGCCTCTTACTGCAGCCCCATGGGGGCTTTTAAAGGAAAATCCCACAAAACCCATAAGATTACAATTCCCACACAATTTTATCTGGATTGATTTATGTCTAGAGGCTAATTTTCTAAGATCATGGTCTGGTCACAGAGTGACCACAGAGGGGGTACAGTTACGTCAACAGGTACATTCTTCCTGAAACCTCAAGGGGGGTATCAAGGCAGGAGTGGAGTTTACACACAGGTCACAGTGGTCCTTCCTGGAACACCTGCAACTATCCCAGTCACAGTTGAGCACATCTCTTAACAGAAATCTCTTTACATTGTTTACATTTTGGCAGGGGTGATTGAGTAGTGGCTGAGTCAGGTTGCCCTTGGAACTAGATTTTTAGTTTCTCATTTCCTGGTGCTTGAAGTTTCTCTTTTCTGAGGCTTGGGGGTGTAATCCTGAAGGGCTAGGGTCTTTCATTATATCTACATGCAGAACTCTATAACCAGCTAGAAAGAGCAACTCAAAATAGGTTGAAATTATGAATTAAACTATGAATTACTAGAAAAAAAAACATAAAGGAAGTGCTTCAAGATCCTGGGACCAACAAGTGTTGTTCTCTCTAAGCTACCAGAATTCCTGGTTGTGTGTGTGTGTGTGTGTGTGTGTGTGTGTGTGTGTGTGTGTGTGTGCCAGTGAGACATCTCAGTGGATAAAGGTGCTCGCTGAAGTCCGGCAGCCTCAGTTCAGCCCTCAGAACTCACACAAAGGTGGAAGGAGAGGACCAACTGTACATGCTATGACATGTGCACCCAAAACTACAATCAATAAAAACATTTTAACTGGAAATAGCAAGTGCTAGTGAAAATGAGGGGAAGGTACTTTCCAATGCATCAGTGGACAGCTCCACACCCAGGCCCATGTGGGCGGCCCTGGTTAAACTCACAGAACAAAACAAAGTCAAAAGAAAAAGGAGGAGGAAAGGGACTTGGGAGAAGGTGGGATGTTGATGGGATGGGGTTGGGTCAGAGAGGGTAGGGAGAGCAAGTGTGACCTCAATGTAGTATAAATACATGTGTGAAACTGTCAAAGGATACATTAAAATAAAACGCTAAAAATAGACTATCACATGGTATACCAACCCTACTACTCAGTGTAGATGTGAAAAAAAAATGAGTCCTTATGTTATAGAGACATCTGGAGTCCTCTGTTTATTCTGCCAGTATTTATAGCGGCCAAGAACTGGAAATGACGCAAGTGCTCATCCACCAATGTATGGGTGGGTAAAACATGGCGCTTATGCCTAAAACACATGCCTAACCCATGAGAAGAGGTAAATCCACTTATTTACAACAACAGAAACAGACAGGGGAGAACTAGAGAGCATTGTACTAAATAATGAAGTAAGCCCGGCACAAAATGAAAATGACTAAGTGATCTCACTCACACCTGGAGTAAGAGAGAGTAGATCTTAAGGAAACTGGGTGTTGAACAGCAGCTGCCAGCAGCTGGGAGAGTCAGAGGGCAGGTGAGTAGGGAAGACCCGTCAATGGCAGTAAGTTGCAATTAGATAAGAAATAAATGAGTTCCACTTTCCTACTTCCATAGTAATATGGGTGTAATAATGGTGACACGTTCTGAGTATTTTTTTTTTTTTAACTAGGAGAAATGCTATTGACTACTTTCCCCATAAAGAAGGAGGACTAGACATCTAAAGAAATGCTTACCCTACACAATGCACATATGTATCAAAACATGACATGAGGGCTGGGGAGATGGTTTAGCTGGCAAAGTACCTTGCCTGCCAGCGTGAGGTCTTGAGTTTGATCTCCAGCATCCATGTAAAAACCAGGTGTGGTGGTGTAAGCCTGTAATCTCAGTCCTGGGGAGACGGGGACAGGGGGGCCCTCGAGTCGCCAGCCAGCTAGTGTTGTCAAATCAGTAAGAACCAGGTTCAGCGAGAGATGCTACCCCCAAAAGTAAGGTGGAGGGAGAAAGACACGGAGTGCGAACCTCTACCTCCACATACGAGCACACAACATGTGTGCATGCACTTGCTACACACATACATGCACACAACATGTGTGCGTGCACTTGCCTACACACAAGAATGAACACACACACACACACACACACACACATACACACACACAGAAAACAAACAAAAACTCAAAACAAGTTAAACTCAAATACAAGACCAAAAACTATGAAATTGCTGGATGAAAACATAGGGAAAAGTCCATGGACATCGGTCTGGGCAAAGACTTCTGGGATATGACTCTTAAAGGTCAGGCAACAGACACAAAGATGGGCAAATGGGATTACATCAGACCAGAGGAGAAGCACAGAACAGCCCACAGGCTGGGGAAATATCTGCAGTCTTGGCCAGTTCAATGGTACAACTCAGCGGTGTTGAATGTGTCTGTGTTGTTCTCGATGAGTCTCCAGAACCTCACAATCTTGCAAAATGGAAACTGAACAGTAATTCCCATTTCTCTCTCTCCTAGACCTTGGCATTATCATTTATTCTCCATTCTCTACGAGTTTAGATATGATAGGTTCATTATATAAGTGGCAATGTGAAGTAAATGTCTTGCTTATTTCACTTAGCGGAGTATCTTCTCAGAGTTTCTTCAAGGTTCAACCACGTCGTCAAATGTGAGAGGATTTCTTTCCTATAGATACAGAGTGATAATCTGTTCTGTGGGTTTATTACCAGTGAGCTGGATGGGTTTCTTTTGATGTCCTTAGATGGGGATTGGGTGTTGGCAAGGAGTAGTTTGTCCAGTGTTGGTAGTCCTGGCCTTTGAGTGCTGGGTAGCTGGTAGACAGAAGCTCATAGCTTCAAATCCCCAAAACTAGAGGCTTAGAGTTGCAGGCATTAGAAACAGAGACTTAGAACTTCAGTACTGTGATTAGATACTTATTGCTCCAGGTTCCAATTGCCAATGGCCTGGCACTTAATAGTTGTGAAAACCGAGGCTCCAAGCAGCGGCCAGAGCAGCTGCAGTCAATGCTGCAGTGGTGCTCGTCAGTGTTGCAGACCCCGGGTGAGACGTGGGCACTGGGACTCTCAGTTCTCCAGCAGCCAGCGTGGTACCTTCCAGGTCTCGGGTGCTACGCCCTGGACTCTTTTCAGTAGCTAGTATTCTTGCCGTCAGACCTGGCGTGTTATGACCCATGGTCCATGTGATGGTTATCCTTGGTTGTCGACTACATCCGG